CATATTGACCCTTTGGGCCCCATTTGGACATTATCACTTAGGGGTGTACTCACTTTTGTTGCCAGCAGTTTAGACATTAATGGCTGTGTGCTGTGTTATTTTGAGGGAACAGCACATTCATACTGTTATACAAGTTGTATACTCACTACTTTACACTGTAGCCAAGTGTCAGTTCTTCAGTGTTGTCACATGAAAAGATATACTTAAATATTTACAAAATGTGAGGGGGGTGTACTCAACTTCTGTGATATACTATATATATGATAGTGTATAAGATAGTGGCAGCTAGGAAAGAATGATGTTGAGGTGTTTGGCCATAGAGAGAAAATGAATGAAAATCAAATTGCAAGACAAATATATGAAGGAAGAGTGAATAGTAAGAGGAAAAGGGAGACAAGGGTTGTCATAGTAGGGAAGAGATCCTCAAAAAGGATACTATAAAAAAAGGGAAGAGCATATGGACATGGTGGAAGTGAGGATGGGTTGCAAGGATAGAAAGTTATGGAAAAATATAACTAATGGATATCTTTTCTTAATCTCATACTTTTCAATTAGCAATAGCATTTGGGCTTTTATACTACCTCATAGTGCTTTATAGCACTCTATGGGCAGTTTACAATGTGAGCATTATTTGCATATTGATCCCAACAGTCTGGCTGTTCATTTTATCCACCTTGGAAGGATGGAAGCTTGAGTCAACTTTGGATCCCATCTCAAACTCTGGGCAGAGTTTGCCTGCAATACTGCAATTTAAACACTCCACAACCAAGAACAATTTCTCTGACTTACCTTTTTTTCCTTTGCTGATCATGAACTTGCTTAGAAGGTATTATAGAGGCAAACCATTTTTGAACCATTTCTTAAAAAATTGCATGGATGTGTCAATAACATTACCAGAAATAAATCTGGAGCTGAAGATGATTTTATTTTTATTTGTGTTGTTGCAGTTTAGACTTGAAAAGAAGATCCTTACATATTAAAACACAAATAGAAATCATTTACTAGTTCAAACAAGGCCTAGTATATATAGACATTGCTCTTCTAATCCCTAACCACAATTTATGCAGTTCCATTTTCTTGATTCTGTCTTTCACATAGGCCAGTTTTCATACTTACTCAGGAGGAGACATGAGTGAGCATCAAGATATTTGCTGCAATAATTAATTATTGTTAAATGTTTAGAAACCTATCAAGGCCTCCATGTGAATATAATGGTTAAAGGATGTGATAAATAGGGAGCCTTTTCTATTTATTGTCCCTTTTTCAAGAGGAGGATTGATGGAGGTACTAAAGATTAGAGAGACTTTGAGGAAAAGCAAAGAAGATAATCCTATGTGACTGGAAAGAAAGTCACTCTCCTGCCTTTAAGAAAGGGATTAGGCTATGAATTCATTATATAGTTTTGAAAAATCTTTGTGCTCTGAAACTGAAAATGAGGAGTTGACATATTATGTTGTATAATCCAGATTACAGTCAATGATTGGATGAATTACACATAAGTATTTATAGTTATCATATGAGGTAGGACTTCCATTGTACTATTGCCACTGTCATGTTGTCTTTTTTGAACACTTCCGTTGATGCTAATGCAAATAAGATGTAGTTGAGGAAAAATCTGAATTTCAAAAACTCTACTCTTGTCACCCTTATTTGGGAAGAAACCTCTGTAAAACTCTAATCTTACTTCAGGATACACAGTCAAAGGATTGGTTTATCCTTAAAGCACGGCTCTCCAAATCTCCAAATTTGTAAGACTTATAGACTTCAACTCCCAGAATTCCCCAGCCAGTGTGACGAAAACTGGGAATTGAAGTCCACAAGTCTTAAAGTTGCCAAGTTTGAAGAACCCTGCTTCAAAGCACTCACATAGCTTAGAAATGCTTTCTGTGTTTTCTTTAAAGTTACTTTTAGCTTAAAGTTTAAAGGACTCAGGCAGATGGAATCTACTATGGATGACACCAGCTAGCACTTATGGTACTAGCAGAATATCTCTGGAATTATGGCATACTGAATCATTTTTATTCCTTCACTTTGCTTTCACTCAGCTTGTTTTTCACTTAATGGAAAGGGTTTGCTCACGTCAAGGAGAGGATAAATAAAAGCAAGCAGCTTTAAAAGTGTCTCTGACACCAGCCTTTTCAAGTGAGAAGTACTCTTCCTCTTAAGAAATGTATTTTCTCTGTCTGTTGGGATGTATATAAAGGTGAAAAAAACACCCCAAATAAAGTGTTTTCTAAGCAGAAAATTGAACCAAAGGGAATATATACTTTTGATTTCCCCATCTCTCTCAACCCTTGCCACTCTCTCTTGTAAACATTACTTGCCTTCCCCACGGCCCCCGAACATGGAATCAGGGTGTAAATAGTTCTGCTTTTAATATAGGAAAGTTTAGAATGAGTATTGGAGGGATATTAGTGCTGCTTGTAGACCGATGGGAAAATGGATACGTTATGGAACTAAGGGCACATTACTATCCTCTCCCCACCAGAGATGGACTAGAAGACATGGGACAGAGAGGGTGGAACTGGAGAAATAGCAGAAAATGAGCAGGACACAATATTAAAACTACTTGGGAGAGCCAAGACTTGTTGTGTCCAACACTTGTTGTGTTCCTGGCTTCTTGTTTCTGTTCCTATAAGGCAGTCCTGGTTGGAGAGAGGAACCTGAAGATCCTAGCATTACAAGTCACCAGCATTGTGGTCATTGGAGGGGAGATACATTAATACAGTATGGAAACAAGGTAGTATAGCAACTCTATCCTAGTAGTACTCAGCAAAGAAAGTGAACTGGGGACTAATAGATAAATTGTTCCATGTGAACGGAAATCCACTTATCTCCACTTCTGAGCAGATAACTCCTTTCTGGGAAGTAGGTTGTCAGATTGTCAGAATTCCTTGCTTCAAAATGTTGCAGGTCAACTTTAGATCTATGTATAATAAGAGTTCATCCATCCATGTCCCATATATAACTGAGACTCGGTTGGGTAAGGACAGTGATGTCATCCTATCTGAAATCGGTCTTGTACAAACCTCTGACTAGAGAAAAGGGATGGCATTGATCTCTACATGAGGAGTGCGATACCTGAAGAGTATTTGGAAGCTGTAGCTAGAATGGACAGTTCTGGGAAGTTCTAAGACTTCACACGTCACTGCTATTGTGCGAGTTGCATTGGTTACATTTTGCTTCTGGGTACAATTCAAGTTGTTCATTGTTAACTATAAAGCCCTACATGGCATGGGACTAGGATATCTGAGGAGCCTGTCTTTCCCTAATGGGACACATTCAACCCACTCATGCAAGTGAAAGAGGTCTGCTAAGGAATTGAAGCAGATGGAGGTCAAGGAGAATACTCTTTTCTGCAGTGGCCCCATCTCTGTGAAACATCCTACTGCCAGATGTGAGAATTGTCCCCTCTCTTTTGGCCTGTTAAAGGAAGGGTTAAAGGAAGGGTGTTAAAATCTGGCTTGCTGGCTGGCCTAGGCACCACTGGAAGTGGCTGATGGAGTAAGAAGACCTCATCCAGTCTCGTCCATCTCTAATTTTCAATTTTAGTACTGTTTTTAATCATACTTTAATTGTGCAGTTTTAATGTTTTATTTATATATTGTTTACTTATTTTATAACTTGTAATTCATCCAGGGTCACCTTGTAGGGTAGATAGGCAGGATAAAAATTTAATCAATGTGTAAATAAAATAAATAAATGTCTCATAGGTTCTGAGATACTGGAATGTAAATACCTATGTGGTAGGTTGAAGCTGTGTGGAAGCTATGGTTGAATTTGTCTAAATTGTGGAATGATAAAGATGTCAGCAGCTTGAAAGAGAGCTACATTTTTCCCTCTTCCAGAACTTCTGGCATTTAAGATTGGCACTAGGAGAATCAGGCAGTCATAATGGTTTAGGTACTTAAACAATGGCAGTAAATTGTTCAACTATTTATTTACATCTATCCTTCTTGCTTCTTTTATCCCTGTGAATAAGACAATGATGTAGTAAAGACACGAGTACTTGCCAAATATCTGCCTCCTGTAAGGCATGTTTGTTTCATGCACAAGGATCGCACCATATGGTAGAAAAATGGATATCCTCATGCTGAACTTATAAAAATATATTTTGTATTAGTACAGATTAAATATGTAATGTAGATAATATTTCCCCATCATATATAGCATCCAGCCCAATAAAGCAATGTTTTGTGGGGCAGGATAGCTGTTTATTTGCTGAGGGGCTCAACCAATTGTCTATGTCAGTCACACAATCAATACTTTTATGTGGTATTTTAAATTGTGTGGAAGGGGTGTCAAACTCTTGTATGGAACACATTCAATAATATTCTCAGTTTATAGGGACAGTTATTAAATAGTTCTAGTTTTGACCTGTGCGTTGATAACCCAGGAAACTAAAACATATGATATGCATTTCATAAATTTTGTTGAGTCTTTTAAATGATGGATTTAGAAATCAGAGTCCACAAATCCAGATTTGGATTTCTTTTTAGCCTGCAAATGGCACATTTAGTAGACATGGGTATACTTTGCCAAATCCCTTAATAGAAAGACTTTGATACATTTATTGTATGGATACAAGATACAGTGCCTTCCCCCAATTATACCCAGTATATTAAATGTAATGATGATAATTTCACAGTCCACAATCCACTTATTTCTTACTATATATTTTCTATATATACATATAGAAAATAATACAGAGAGAGAGAAAACACAAAACACATTAGCATTATCTGTTTTATTTCTGGGTTCTATTGTGACACACAGTAGATTTCATTGTTTAAAGCATGCCCACAACTTTAGAGTCCACATTAGTGTGTCAGAAAGCTCAACTAAAATAATATTCATGAGATGCTAATTGTGCATGCCCAAAGTATGCATATATTTTAATAAAACAAGAGATAGAATTTCCAGTAGATAGCAGAGTGCAGACCTCAGCGTGAGAACTCTATTATATCTGATGACAATGATATTTTATTTTATTTTCTCAGCGACAGACCATAGAGCTAATTCCTGTGACTGAAGTCCATTATCGATATGCTGCAAAGTCATATATTTATTATATCTACGGAACAGACAACAAAGTCTATGCCCTGGACTATCCACAAAGATACTGTTGTGGCTGCACTATAATCTGACAGTGAAATTCTTCATATAAAACAAGCTATTTTTATGTTCTAAATTATCTAGAGTGGGATGATATGGATTTCCTGCTTACTGCTGTGATAAGCTTTGTTATCCTACTCCTCCAGATAAGAAAGAAGAAGGCATGGTAATAAAATGTCCTAAATCCTATTTCTACTTTTGTTAAAACAACATATATCTAAATATGTATCTTTAAATATATGTGTCTAATATTATTTTCTGGAAAAATAGCACCTTGGAGAATAAACTATGTATATATTCTCTAAATCTACTGTGTTGTAGAGTAATCACTATTGCATCTATAGGAGTACAGATTTAAGCAGATGTATGAGGCGATGGAAACAGGAATAATTCTAGAAACCTCCAGACTAGCTAGTTATTATATATGGGTTAAGGCCATTTTCTTTAAAATTTGGATTGTTTTGCATGTGATTTTGGTTAAGAGAGAGACAATGAAATTCAGTTCTTTACTTTTAGTTATCAAAGAACAGTTCCATGTGCATTATGTATAGAGATAAAATAGGTAGTGTGAATCTACTTGCAGAGGTGTCAAGCTTGCAATGACACATTGTCATCACATGCTTTATCTCAACTGTATCTCAGACTCCACCCCGATGCAAGGGATTATGGGGTCATTAAAAGACAAATAAATACATAAATTTGCAGAATTGCTATGTCACATTTAGAAGTGAATGAATCTACAGTACCCTGCCTTGCTTACTCATGATTTCAGGCCAATGACAGAAAGGAGATTAATAAATGAATGCTTGGAGTTCACTGCTTTTTATGTAAACTAATAAGAAACTCAATTTGAGAATGCTGATCCAGTGCATGGGACCAAGAGGGAATATCCATAGGCTTGAGGGATCTCATTAAACTAAAATAATTAAGAGACTGGAGGCCTCAGTGGAGCTTCAGAAAACAGGAAGAGGAGAACTGGAATGGATAAAAAGGCAGAATGATGCTTCGTTATAAGTCCCACTAGTTTCCTTTACAGCTTTTAAGTGAGCCATTGATGATTTTCCATAAACCGTAGTCCCTGTTATTGCAGGATTAATGGTATTAACAATCGTTTCAGGAGAAGCCTATGAACACAGTCCCATTTTCATGATTTTCCACTAGAGGGAAGCAGTGACATAAAAATCGGTCTTTATTATTCATGGACAAGTACATATTTGTAAGACATTTTCCAAATCCCACATGGGATGAATGTGCTTGTCTCTGTGCTTGCATATTCAACGTGCATTTACATGTCAAGCGACTGTGCATATAAGCGTTCATATCATTTTTTCTCACATTTTTATATGAATATATACTGGACGCTATGATGTAACCCACAGCAGGCAGAAAAAAACAATCCAAAATTCACACAACAGCAGAAAGCACATTGCAGATACAAGTACTGAATACTGGTTTGCAAATATAAATAGTGCAAAGTTTTGCATAGTTTATACTCAAAAGTAAATTCCACTGAATAAACTTTGTCCTACAGTTAGCCGAAAGAACTGCAATCATAATTGTTTTTTCGGTTTAACTACTGTACATTTGATTTTCCATATACCGTATGATTTTGGCATTGTTTGCTGTGCCCATTGGATAGCTTCATACAAATGCTAACCTAGGCTAACAAAAATAATTCTTATGCTAGGACACCATATGATTGTATGTCTAAACAAATAATTATATTGGAGCTTTGGCTCATACAGCATGCTAATGGCTGACATTAGTAGCATGTAAGCTATTAATTATCCAACTTCATTTTAGCCTAGTTAAAGGCTAGTATATCATTTATATTTTTCTCTCATTTAAACCTTCAGAGTCACCCATTTCTATATGGCTCTGGGCAGCTAATATAGGATAAAAACCAGTATAGCAATTAAAATGAAATCCCTACAGTGAATAGAACCTTGCTATGGATTCCTCTAATGGCCCAGCCTTTACAGAGTCAGCATATTGCCCCCAACTGTCTGGGTCCTCATTTTACTGACCTTGGAAGGATGGAAGGCTGAGTCAACCTTAACTGGTCAGGATCGAATTGCTGGCAGTTGGCAGACTTAGCCTGCAATATTGCATTCTAACCACTGCATCACCATGGGTCTTATAGATAGAATTGTTATTTTGCAAGATCAATGCCTTTTTTCCTAGGAACTCTGAAGACCATCTAGAATGTGCCTCAGAAGTAAGAGAGGATCTTCCAGATGACAACCTGTGGAATCACCGCTACCCTGTCCTGTTTATATATACAGGACTTGGCAACCTGAGCACTCCAGGAATAATTGAACTTCTATTCCAAAGATCTCTACCTTTGGTGATGTAGTCTGGGGTGGCTGGGAGGAGCAACAGCCAGAAGGTCACAGATTACCCATCTAAATTATATCATTTTGAGAAGATTACTTCTCATATGTGATATTCCTATTTGGAAGCTTTTCCATTGTAGAGTGTTATTGTAAAATATCTTTTAAAACTTCTAAAACGTGATTTTAGGCAATAAAGATGATACATTCATTACTGTGACTGGTCTTGTAGTACATGGTGTCCTGCTGTCTGCAATGAAAGTGCATTTACTGCCAAAAGACAAGAAACCAATAACTAATGTCTGGGTGGTTTTGACAGGATTGGAGAAAGCAAATTTCCACTCTGCCGCTCTCTTCAAACGTGAGCAGCAAAAAAGTGCTAAGAACCTGCCAATATTTTTTAAATACCTTTCTTGGAAAGGGTAGATTATTTTCATTTTTGTTAAATAACAACAAGCAGAGTCTCCCTTGAACAGATACATTAAAATGCAGAAAGCAGGAGAAGGTGAAAATCTAATTCCTTTTCCTAATTCCTGGGACATTAAAAAAAAATCTAAAATATTTTCAAACTGCTCATATGCCTACATAAACAAATAGGACATTGCTGTAGTGTTCAGGCTAAAGATTCAATGAAAAGAATTTTATCCTACCTCATCCCTGCAGTATAAATTAACTGCTTGTAGAGGAAAGGTGAGACAAGGGAAGCATTTCTCTTTGTCCTATATTCCTTGGCACTCAGCAAGAGTGTTGCCGTGTGTGTGTGTGTGTGTTTCTAAGCTTCATAAACTGAACCAGGAGAAGACCTTAACTGAGGGATAGTCAAGGAGAGGACCAACCTAGCACTAAGAGAAATTTCCTGACAGAACAATGAATCAATGGAACATTTAATCAGTGGAATGACTTGCCTCCAGATATTGTGGGTACTCCAGTACTGGAGATTTTTAAGAAGAGATTGGACAACCATTGGTCTGAAATGATATAGGGTATAAAGTTTCCTGCCTGAGCAGTGGTTGGACTTCAAGACCTCCAAGGTTCCTTTCAACTCTGTTATTTTTTATCAATGTATTGAAAGAGAATCTCTCCCTCTCTCTACACCATCATCATCAAACCATGCAGCTGTAACATTAGACTCTTGAAATTATAGGATTTTATGCTAGCAATACAAATGGATAAAAGACCCTCACATCAATATGTAGAAAAATCATGCAGTTCTGGGATGAAGTGACAAATGTAAATTAAATGTATCTTGTGTGTGGATTTACTCATCGAGCTCTGAAATTCTTCACATACTGACCTCCTGACTTAGCTCATTTTTGCGGGGGGGAAAATGCCATGAATTGGATGTTTTCTTAGCTTTCCAAAGCATAGTGGGTTCCCTCCTAGTCCCAATTGTCCAGTAAATAGATACATTTAAGGAATTTTTGCATTAACAATGTGGTCTACCCTGTCTGAAAAGTGCCTTTATTAATCTCAATCAAAAATCCCATTTTAGGACATGACTGCAGGCTAATCTATTGCCATATTTGGCTTTTTCCTTTTGGAGTTACACATTTTCTTCCTGGTAAAGTAGAAAAAACATGCTTACATCATCTTCAAAGCATCTGATTGAAAAACTAAGTCAACTTTGGCATCCTGGCTAAGCCACCATTTATTGACATGACAGGTCAAATTGCCCAATTGAGTCAAGTGTCATAAACCTATCAAAGTCAGCAACCAGAAGCAGACTTGATAAAATCACATTGCTTTTTTATATATTGTTGTTGTCATTATTACTGTTATCCCCATTATCATCATTTTTGGATTTCACAAAGTAAAAAAGGAAGAGCTTTTTGAAGAAAATTACATCACAAAACACTGTTTCCTGATATACCCTATTTTCCTTTCTCCCAGCTGTGTATCTTTTCAAGCTAAGCAACCAGGAAAATATTTAAAGAACATGTGCAAGAATTCATTTAAGCTTGCTGTTTTATAAGCTTTTTAAAAATGCTGTTTCTTCTTCCATTCCAGTAATCTGAGATAATTCTAAGTAATTATTTTTATATCATATGTTTATAATACAGGAAAAAATACAGTTTCACATCTAATAATAGGAGTAATTTTATGCAGCATGTGCTTTAAATTCAAGGACAGTTACAGTAATGTATCAAAATCAGACTTTAGTTTCATTCAGAACTTAATTTTTGTATTATTTTCAGGCAGAAGCATAAGCTATTATACAGGTATTGTTTTCAAATTTACAGTATGTGCAACATGCAATAAGCTATCATACCTTTATGGTCTCCATCTAGGCAGCATCTAATAAAAAAGAAATGGCAGATAGAGAGAAATGAATTGCTTATTAAGATTCCTATTAATACAAGAAGAGGTAAAACCTAAGTCAAAAGAATAATTGACTGTAGAGGGATATAGCTTACAATGGTTTTCATATACACAATTAAAAGAAAGCTTTAGTATAGACAAACAAGTGATTGGAATTAATCAAGAATCTGAAAATTAGTTAAGTGCAAATGATGAATTGTATAAGCTTTTATTAAATGTATAAGCTTTCATGAAACTGAAGAACAAGTTAAGAATTGTATGATAAAGTGGACTATGAATATAACATACAAATGGACAAATCGGAAAGAATGAGTAAATGGGTTGAAATTCATAATGCTTGAATGCATAATTTAAGAGAGAATTTGCATAAAACAATGTACTTTTTGGTATATGACACTGGAAAACCTATCAAAGATGTATAAGCAACGTAGGAAATACGAAGTAAGTGAAGAAACATTTTACCTTGTAAAAAAGCTATAAAATTCTGGATGCAAATGCACATAGAACAATGATAGAAAAAATCTTAAAGATTAATGTTGAAAAGAAGTCAGGACTTTTCTTATTGGGACTTATGGATAACCAATTAGAAAAAATATCATAGAAGATTGTTTTTATATATGGTAACTCTGGTCAGACTATTATATCCATAACAAT